TATAAAAATTTAAAATATAATAAAAACGAATTAAATAATTTGGCTTAACAAATTTAAAATACCCCATAATTTAAAAACAAATTAAAATTTACATTTAAAAAGGGAGAAGATTTAGGCGAGGCCAGCTTGATGAGATAAAAAAATCTTAAGCGCAGGACGGAAGGTGTGCAGATCATGGATCCTCCGTATCTCCGGGGGGAGCTCGTTCCAGATCGTAGGTGCCCCCACAGAGAAGGCTCTCCCCCTAGGGACCGCCAGTCCTTAAGCCACAGAAATTTTGGGCTCCATTCCGGTCGTAATTTGAGGATGACTTGTAGATTTTCTCAGCTGAATACACAATTTGTGGCCTGTCCTGGGAGTCGTTTTTGTGTGGGTTCTCACAACCTGCTGCCACGGTTTGCCACGGCTTCGAAAAGCTCAGAAACCACAAACTGATGTCGTTGTGTGCTTCCTTTTCTAGGTGGGACACCTCCTTGTCACCTACACTTTTCGGATAGACAAAGCAAGGAAACAACTGGGGTTTCATCCAAAGAAATATTCCTTGGCCGAGGTGGCAGGCGATTATCTGCGAAGGAAATCTATGCGTGAAGACAAAGGAAGTCCCTCCCCCTAATATTCAGACTTGGCCCAAAGGTGTTTTTTTTTCAAAAGGCAACTGGACTCTCTGTTTTTCCCTTGAAGAGGTTTCGCTTCTCATCCGAGAAGCTTCTTCCGTTCTGAGTGAATGTTGGAAGGATTTCTATTCCTTGCAGTCATCTGGTCGTTGGCGCTCTCTCTGAGAGTCGTTGAGGCCACTTGGAGGCTTATCTTCATATTTTACATCTTCACATTGTTTCTTTTACGTTGCGGCTTTTTATCCCTCATTGAACAGTTGTCAGAAAACTTTTTTGCCTCTGGGGAACACAGGTAGTCCTCGACGTACGGACACAACCGAGCCCAAAATTCCAGCCACTAAACAAACCAGTTGTTAAGTCAGCATTGCCCCATTTTGCCACCTTCCTTTGCCACAGTTGTTAAGCGAATCGTTATTAAGTGAAATCATCCAGTCGTTAAGTGAACCTGGCTGCGAAGGCCGCATATGGTGATCACATGACCCTGGGATGCTGCAACTGTCACAAATACATGCCAGTTTCTAAGTGTCCAAATGTTGATCACTTTTGAGGACACAAGTCTGCAAACTGCTTATAAGTCACTTATTTTAGTGCCATTGTATCTTCAAACGGTCACTAAACGAATGGTTGTAAGTCAAGGACTACCTGTAAATGGCTTTGTATCAGGAAACCAAGAAAACCATTCAGCTCAGAGACCACCAAGGACCCCAAAGTTTAACTCTGGAGCTACACATAATCTCTTCTATCGGTAATTAATTATTAGTCTCCCGAATAACCAAAGACCTACATACAAACACCTGCGAAAACCTCAGAAAACATATATATATATATATATATATAATATATATATATATATATATATATATATATATATATATATATATATAATGTAAATGTTCATTTGTTCAAAATCTTAAATCTCCGAAAGTTCTGCACCAATTGCTTTGAAATTTTGACACAACGTTGCATTTGAATACACACGTGTTTTTATATGCCTACTATTATATAGATGTCACACCTGTGACAGGTGACAGGTAAAAACATGTTTTTTTGAAAAACAGCGCCATCTGTTGGACGTCAAAGCAACACACGTATTAAGTGTGCAATGTTGCTCATTAATTGGAAGGGAGAGGGAAGGAGAGAGAGAGAAAGAAAGAGAGGGAGAGAGAGAGGGAGAAAGAGAGAGAAAAAGAGGGAGAGAACAAGAGGGAGGGGGAGGGGGAGGGAGGGAGAGAGAGTGAACGAGAAAGAGAGAAGAGAAAGGGAGGCAGAGAGAGGGGGAGGGAGAGGGAGGGAGAAAGAGGGAGGGAGGGAGAAAGAGAAAGAGAGGGGAAAGGGGGAGGGAGAGAGAAAGAGAGAGAAAGAGAAAGGGAGGCAGAGAGAGGGGGAGAGGGAGGGAGGGAGAAAGAGAAAGAGAGGGGAAAGGAGGGGGAGAGAAAGAGAGAAAGAGAAAGGAAGGCAGAGAGAGGGGGAGAGGGAGAGGAGGGAGAAAGAGAGAAAGAGAGGGGAAAGGGGGAGGGAGAGAAAGAGAGAGAAAGAGAAAGGGAGGCAGAGAGAGGGAGGGAGAGGGAGGGAGGGAGAAAGAGAAAGAGAGGGGAAAGGAGGGGGGAGAGAGAGAAAGAGAGAAAGAGATAGGGAGGCAGAGAGAGGGGGAGAGGGAGGGAGGGAGAAAGAGAGAGAAAGAGAGAAGGGAAAGTGGGAGGGAGAGAGAGAAAGAGAGAAAGAGAAAGGGAGGCAGAGAGAGCGGGAGGGAGAGGGAGGGAGAAAGAGAGAGAAAGAGAGGGAAAGGGGGAGGGAGAGCGAGAACAAGAGGGAGAGAACGAGAAAGAGAGCCACAGCAACGCGTGGCCTAGTAAGAAATAAAAAATATCCCCCCCCCCAAATAAATAAATAAATAAATAAATAAATAAATAAATAAATAAATAAATAAATAAATAAATTCCTCAGTCTGTTGATCCAGGTCTCTTTTCAGTAGCTCAAAACTCCCCCCTCCCACCCCCGCTGCCTTTTGCAAAGACCCCGGCCCATCCCGGGATCCCGGAGGTCCAAAGTAATAGGAGAACACGCGCAGTTCCCACGAAGGCGCCCGGACACGCGTGTCGCGGGGCTCGGCTAGAGGCCGGGCTCTTTCTGAGGGCGCTTCTGATCCGGTCTATACGGCCCGGACCCTGCGAGCCCAGCCGGCCGGGCGTTAGGTTCGCTTCTAGCTTTGCGACCCCCGCGGCCCTGGAGGGCTGGGCGGGGGTCTCCGCCCGCCGCTCAGGGGGCAGAAGAGAGGCGGCTGGAGCTGAGCGCCTTCCCGCTGCCCAATTCGGGGAGGGGGCGCCCGGCTTCACTCCCGCCCTGGGTAAACTGAAAGGGGTCGGTCGAGAGGGGCTGAAACTCACACGGTCCCCCCCCCCCCCGCGGAGGGTCGGTTGGCTACAGGGAGAGATCGAGGGTTTTCTCTTCCTCCCTTTAGCCCTTCCCCTCTTCCCTCCCTCTCTCCCTCTCCTTTTCCCCATTCCTCTCTCCCTCTCTTCCTCTCTTCCTCTCTCCCTCACCTTCCCTCTTTCCCCATCCCTCCTCTCTCCCTCCCTCTCTTCGTCCCTCTCTCCCTCTCCTTTACTCCCTCTCCTTTACTCCTCTCCTTTTCCCCATTCATCTTTCCCTCTCCTTCTCCCCTCTCTTCCTCTCTCCCTCACCTTCCCTCTTTCCCCATCCCTCCCTCTCTCCCTCCCTCTCTCCCTCTCCTTTTCCCCATCCCTCCTTCTCTCTCCCTTTCCCTCTCCCTCTCTCTCTGTCCCTCTCCCTCTCTCCTTTTCCTTCTCCCTCCGGCTCTCTCTTCTCTCTCCCTCACCTTCCCTCCCTTCCCTCTTTTCCCCATCCCTCCCCCACTCCCTCTGTCCCTCTCCCTCTCTCTCTCTCCTTTTCCTTCCCTCTCCCCTTCCCCTCTTTCCCTATCCCTGCCTCTCCACCTCCCTCTTTCTCCCCTCCCCCTCACGCCCTTCCCTCCCTCTCTCTCTCCTTCCCTCCCTCTCCTTTTCCCCATTCATCTCTCCCTCTCTCCTTCTCCCTCCCGCTCTCTCTTCTCTCTCCCTCACCTTCCTCTTTCCCCATCCCTCCCTCTCTCCCTCCCTCTCTTCCTCCCTCTCTCTTCCTTCCCCTTCCCTTCTCCCTCCCTCTGTCCCACCTCTCTCTCTGTCTCACCTTCCCTCTCCTTCCCTTCTCCTTTCCCTCTTTCCCTATCTGTCTCTCCTTCCGTCTTTTTCTCCCTCCCCTCTTGCCCTCCCTCTCTCTCACTTTCCCCTCCTCTTTTTCTCTTCCTCCCCTTTCCCTCTCCTTCTCTTCCTCCCCTTTCCCCATCCCTCCCTTTCTCTCTCTCTCTCCCTCCTCCTGCTCTCTTCTCCCTCTCTCCCTCACCTTCCCTCTTTCCCCATCCCTCCCTCTCTCCCTCCCTCTCTCCCTCTCCTTTTCCCCATCCCTCCTTCTCTCTCCCTTTCCCTCTCCCTCTCTCTCTGTCCCTCTCCCTCTCTCCTTTTCCTTCTCCCTCCCACTCTTTCTTCCTCTCTCCCTCACCTTCCCTTTTTCCCCATCCCTCCCTCTCTCCCTCCCTCTCTTCGTCCCTCTCTCTTCCTTCCCCTCCCCTTCTCCCTCCCTGTCCCACCTCTCTCTCTGTCTCTCCTTCCCTCTCCTTCCTTCTCCTTTCCCTCTTTCCCTATCTGTCTCTCCTTCCCTCTCCTTCCCTTCTCCTTTCCCTCTTTCCCTATCTGTCTCTCCTTCTGTCTTTTTGTCCCCCCCCTCTTCCCCTCCCTCTCCCCTCTCTCTCCCCCCCCCCCCCTCCCCCTTTCCCCTCCCCTTTCCTCCCTCACTTTTTCTCTCCCTCCCCTTTCCTCTCCTTCTCTTCCTCCCCTTTCCCCATCCCTCCCTTTCTCTCTCTCTCTCTCTCTCCCTCTCCCTCTCCTTCCCTTTCTCTTTTCCCTGTTTCCCTATCTCTGTCTTTCCTTTCCTCTTTTTTCTCTCCCCCCTCTCTCCCTCTTTTTCTCTCCTTCTCTCTTCCTCCCTTTCCCTATCCCTCCCTTTCCTTTCCTTCCTTTCTCCTTTCCCTCTTTCCCTATCTCTGTCTCTCCTTCTCTCTTTTTCTCCTTCCCCTCTTCTTCTCCCTTTCTCTCCCTCTCTCCCCCCTCCTTTTACTCTCTCTCCCCCTCTTTCCCTCTCCTTCTCTCTTCCTCCCCTTTCCCTATCCCTCCCTCTCCTTCCCTTTCTCCTTTCCCTCTTTCCCTATCTCTGTCTCTCCTACCTCTTTTTTCTCCCTCCCCCTCTTCCCCTCCCTCTCCCTCCCTCCCTCTCTCTTTCTCTCCTTCTTCTTCCCCTCCCCTCCCTCTTCTCCCCTCCCTCGGAGAGCACCACGGACCCCTCATTTCGACCTATTCTCGCACCTATTCTCCTTGAACGATAAAAATGACATCTGATTCCTCTCGTTACACCTGAGGCAGGTGGGAGCAGGTGACCTCTTTGCCCCTCCGGATGGAGATTTGGGGGCTCCGCCATCTTCCCAGCCCGGAATGGAGAAGCCGAAGGACCCAAAACCCAGCCGGTTCTACACATGCAACAAGGAGGATGGCAAAGTTGGCGAAAAGGTTCCTGAAATCCTGACGCTGCCGTTGAATAAAATCAGCGACAAGGCGGTCATAACCGAGGCGCCGGTTATCTCGGCTTTACGCTCGGCTGCGCTCTGGCTAAATCAGGAACCAAAGTCATTTTGTACGATTTTAATCCGCCGATCTGGAACATTCCAAAAGGGATAATATTGATCAGGGTATTTCTCGTTTCTGATCATTGTTCAGAAATATCATATAGATATTTTGGTGAAGCTTTGCAGGTAATCCTCGATTTACGACCGTCGGTTTAACGCAGGGGTGAAATCCAGCAGGTTCTGACAGGTTCTGCAGAACCGGCAGCGGAAATTTTGAGTAGTTCGGAGAACCGGCAAATACCACCTCTGCATGGGCCCAATGTGGGGAGGGAATGGGGATTTTGCAATATCCTTCCCCCAGAGTGGGGTGGGAATGGGGATTTTGCAGTATCTTTCCCCTGCCACGCCCACCAAGCCACACCAGGCCCACCAAGCCACGCCCACAGAACCGGTAGTAAAAAAAAAATGGATTTCACCACTGGATTTAACAACGGTTCAAAGTTAGGATGGCCTCAGGGGGGAGGGGGGAGTGATGTATGACCTGGACTCACACTTACAACTTGGAACGGTCGCTAAATGAACTGTTGTAAGTCGAGGACTACCTCTACATTGACCCATCAACTAATTATCATGTATGATGGTTGTAGTGTCCCCGGGGGGTCACGTGATTTCCCCCTTTTGCGACCTTCTGACAAGCAAAGTCAACAGGGAAGCCGGATTCACTTAACCGTGTTTATTCACTTAACAACCTCAGTGATTCACGTGGCAAGAAAAGTGGTAGAATGGGGCAAAACTCACGTAACAAAATTTCTCAGCCACATACATTTTGAGCTCAATTGGGGCCGTAAGTTGAGGACTTAAGGCCACTGAGCTTGTCGATCAGAAAGGTTCGGCAGTTCGGCGGTTCGAATCCCTAGTACAGGTCTCCTGAGTGAGCAGGGGGTTGGACTAGATGACCTCCAGGGTCCCTTCCCACTCTGTTCCTGTTCCTGACTATCTGTATCGCACCAATCCAGAATGTGGTTTATTAATACAATGAAATTTTTATTTTTATTGAAGTACCAGGGAATAGCATAACAGTCAAAGTCAGAGAAGGGCCGAGATGGACAACATGACCCCACAAGCCCCAAACTTGTGGATTTCCTCTCCCAGAATTCCCTGGCTAGGGTCAGACCCATTGCTGGGAATTTTGGGAACTGAAGTCCGGGCATTTGGAAGTGCCAAAGCTGGGCCACCCAGCAGCGGAGAAGACGTTAGCCTCTTGTGTCATTTTGGCTCTGAGCTTCTGTCGAAAATAAAAATGAGGCTTGCTACTCAGAATTTCCAACGGCAGCTTTTAAGATGTGTGGACTTCAACTCCCAGAATGTATTTTATTTATTATATTCTTACAATGTAATAAGGGTTAACCAGAGAGGCAGTTTCTGTAAGCAGGGCAATAAAGATTAGGCTAGAAACAACACCAGAATGTTGTAATTCCTTACAGGATTAGCCCTGTAAAGTGGAAAAAAACAAAATAAGATTTCTTCCAACAACCGCTTAGAAAATTAACAAGCGGTTCTACCGAATAGGTGCGAACTGGCTTCACCTGGTTTCAAATCCTGCTACCGGTTCGCTATTGGTAGCGCGCAGGCGCGCGGGCTTGCTTTGTGAGCACGCGGCGCTTCTGTGCATGTCCACAGCATTTTTGATGACGTCTAAGCGGGTGGGTGGAGCCTCCCACAACCACCATTGGTTGAAGTCCAATAGGCTGTTTTATGAGTCGCCTGGGAAAAAATGGACACTTGTCCTCCAATAAGACACTCATAAAAGTTTTCTCCTGCCTTACAGTCGGACGTGAGAAACTTTAGTGATTTGTACTCCGCCTGCGAAGGTGTGGATTGTCTCATCCACGCAGCCTCGTACGGGATGACCGGCATACAACAAGTGAGTCCAGTTTGATTTTCCTTCTGTAGCTCTGGAGTTTTGCAAATGATGCAGGCTCTCTTGAAGATGTGGAAAGTTTGTTCTGAAATCAGGAGGCGGTGAGTTCTAGTCCTGCTGTAGGCATGAAAGCCAGAGGGGGTGACTTTGGGCCAATCACCAGGTGACTGAATTCTAGTCCTGCTTTAGGCACAAAAACCAGCTGGGTAACTTTGGACCAATCACCAGGTGACAGTGAGTTCTAGTCCTGCTTTAGACCCAAAAACCAGCTGGATAACTTTGGGCCAATCACCAGGTGACAGTGAGTTCTAGTCCTGCTTTAGGCCCAAAAACCAGCTGGGTAACTTTAGGCCAATCACCAGGTGACAGTGAGTTCTAGTCCCACCTTGGGCGTGAAAGTCAGCTGTTGACTTTGGGCCAATCACCAGGAGATAGATGGTGAGTTCAAGTCCTATCTTAGGCATGAAAGCTGGCTGAGTGACTTTGACCCAATAACCAGGTGACAGTGAGTTCTAGCCCTGCTTTAGGCACAAAAACCAGCCTGGGCAACTTTGGGCCAATCACCGGTGACAGTGAGTTCTAGCCCTGCTTTAGGCACAAAAACCAGCTGGGTAACTTTGGGCCAATCACCAGGTGACAGTGAGTTCTAGTCCCGCTTTAGGCACAAAAACCAGCTGGGTGATTTTGGGCCAATCATGTTCTCCCAATCCAATCCATCTCCCAGATTCGTTGTTCTGGAGAAAATAGGAGGAGGAAAGAGTATTAGGTATGCAACCCTAACTGCAGGGACTTGCTCAGGCTGGAGACTGAACTTGATGGTCATCAAATAAATCTGGACAATTGACCCAACACGAAAAAGAAACGCAACATTTCTAGAACCTTCTGCCGTAACTGTTCAGGAAATATAAAGGGAACAGAGCAGTGCTTCTCAATTTCAGTCTCTTTAAGACGCATGGACTTCAACTCCCAGAATTCCCCTGTTCAATGAATTCTGGGAGTTGAAGTCCGCCCGTCTTAAAGAGGCTGAGTTTAAGAAACCCTGGAATAGAGCAAGTCCTTTTTTGTGTTGTTGTGACATTGTGGTTCTTCCTCTTCTCCTAGCTGCGCAAGAAACACATTCGGTCGGTCAACATCGGAGGGACCGGAATCGTCCTTGAAGGTGCGTAAGTGGTGTTTTGTGTGTAGTTGTAGTGGTAGTAGGTGACAGAAAAGAATAGATCGATTTTTGCTGGCCAAATTCAGGATTGAACTACTAAGAGGAGACCACGCATAAGGAATTTAAGGCTTATATTTGGGGACTGGTGTTCTGCCCCAGCTACGGACCCCAAAGAACGCAGCACACACAAACTCCGTACAAAACTTAGTTTACTACTTAAAGACTACTAATGAGCTTTCTTAGTAGTTGTTTGAACACAAGTACAGTTTAAACCAGTCTTTTCTGAACAAGGGCTGTTAATTTAACTTCATTAACACCCGACAAGAATCCAAAGAATAATAACTCAATTCTGAGGCACGGTATTTCAGAAAACCGTAATCTTACTGTGGTTGGCAGAATGCCCAGAAGCAATTTGCAGGAACACTGAAAAGAGAGAAACAAGAGCCGAATCAAACGTTTCTGGAATCAAGACGCGAAGGAATATGAACGAAGTTGTTTCCTGCAAATTGCATCAGTCGTCGTCCTTCCTTAAATAGGCTAGGGGAGTGGCCAATTAGCCCCAAGCCTTACTCTCGAGGAGACCTCCTCCTGAGGAGCCACTCCTGCCTTTTGGCAGCTCTGCGTGCCCCTGCATCGAGAAGAGGCTCCTCCTCTTCTTCCTCTTCACTTATGGGAGCTTCTGGAGGTTCTGAAGGCCTGGCTGAATCCCTGCCTCTGGCACCACATCTTCTCCAACCTCCTCACTGTCCGACTCGAGCGCCAGCTGCAAAGGCTGCTGGCGCAGCACCACACCAGCCTCCTCGCTGTCGGAATCAGCTACTAACTGCACAGGCCGCTGACGGGCCACAACATTCAACCTCTTGCCCTTCCACAACATTTGGGCCCCGTGGCGTGGTTTGCACCCCAAACCTTGTCCCTTAATGTGTCTCCCCAGTTTGCAAGCGGCAAAGAATCCCCAGGTTGATCTACACCAGTACAGTCAATGTGGTCTTTGCAGGAGAAACGATCGTGGACGGCGACGAAGCGACCGTGTCCTATGTTCCTTTAGAGCAGGTACGTCTTCCAGCTGAAATAAATTACAGGTAGGCCTCAATTTACACCATAATTGGGACTGGAACCTCCGGGAGGGGGAGGGGGGAAGAGAGGCGGTCATTAAGTAAGTCACAGCCGATTTTGCGGCCTTTATTGTGACATCATTAAATGAATCAAGCGGTCCTTAAGTGAATCCAGCTTCCCCCATTGACTTTGCTCGTCGGAAACCAGCTGGAAAGGTTTCAAAAGGTGATCACATGACCCCGGGACAGTGCAACCGTCATAAGTACCTGCCAGTTTCTAAGTGCCCGGATTTTGATCAAATGATCATGGGGATGCTACAACGGTCATAAGTTCAAGGACCGGTTGTTGTAAGTCAGTTATTTCAGCCCTGTCATAACTTCGAACAGTCGTTAAATGAGTGGTCGCACGTCAAGGACTACCTGTAGTTTTTAAGCCTTTAGCTGAACTTGGGGAAGTGGAGTCGAACGCCCCGTGCGTGGAAGGAAGAAATTGAGCCGCTGATTTTTACCCGGGTTGAAAATTTTGCACGAGTTTCTCAAACTGTAGTTCCTGGAAACATTTTGGAATGTGCAAGGGGGGCCAATCACAATTCTGAAGCCAGTATTTTTTGGCTTTTGAACCTAAGTAACAGTAACAGTAACATCTAGTCCAACCCAGCCCTGCTCACGCAGGATTCGAACTGCCGACCTTTCTGATCGGCAGGCTCAGCGTTTCAGCCACAGAGCCACCTACGGAGTTGCCTTTTTCTCTTTCTCTCTCTCTCTTTTAGCAAGTTAATGAATATTCCCGGACGAAAGCCATCGCAGAACAAATGGTCTTGGCAGCTAATGGGTCACTCCTACCAGGTACTTCTCTGCAAGTTTTCGCCATGTGAAGTTTTGCCCTTCATCTCTCTCCCTCCTACCCCTCCGCCACCTTTACAGTCCAAGAAACTAGGGAGGGTTTCTTTTGGGATGTTTACCACTTCCCATTCCTTCTGTGGGCTCAGCTGCCTCTTATCTGAGCATTGTCTAGGCCAGGGATCTCCAAACTCGGCAACTTTAAGACTTGCGGACTCCCAGAATTTCCCAGCCGGCCAACTTTAAGACGTGTGGACTTCCAACTCCCAGAATCCCCAGAATGGCTGGCTGGGAATTCTGGAAGTTGAAGTCCACACGTTTTAAAGTTGCCAAGTTTGGAGACCCCTGGTCTAGCCTGTGTCCCTTGCTCCTGTCTCCCAAGGCCCTTCCAACCGTTTGTTACATCAGCTGGTTAGTCTACATCGATGTATTGCAAGATTCTGTGAATGTAACCTTAGAGTAAAGACAGAGCTCGTATTCCTGGGTGGTGCTTCCCGTCTGGGCTACCTCAAAAGGATAACATTTATCTATCTCTACTCCCTCGCCTTTACAGTCCAAGAAACTAGGGAGGGTTTCCTTCTGAAATGTTTGCCATGTCCCTTTCCTTCTGAGGGCTCAGCTGCCTCTTATCCAGAGGTGGAATTCAGCCGGTTCAGGCGAACCGGTAGTGGAAATTTTGAGTAGTTTGGAGAACTGGCAAATACCACCTCTGGCTGGCCCTGCCTCCGGCTGCCTGCTCGCCACTCGCCCTGCCTGCCCAGCTCTCACCCCACTTCCCCCCCCCGTCACTCCTCATCTTGCCTCCAGTCTTATCTGCTATTGTCTAGTCTAGTCTGACTTTTCCTGCTTCTCCCGAGTTCATTCCTACGTAACATTACAACCATCTAGGAATGGCACCCAAAGGACTAAAGGTTTTCATTTCATCCCTTCAAGAATTCATTCTGGCTTGCTTTACTTCACAGGAGGAGGGAAGTTACGCACATGTGCAATCCGCCCTCCTGGGATTTATGGACCGGAAGAGCTGCAGCATTTGTCTCGGTTAGCCGTACGTATTTTGATGGGCATCGCAGGGTATCCCTGATGAAGAGGTGGGGGGATGTCGCAGAAGCACCTTTGCAGGGAAAGCTAACAAGGTTTTTTGCAAACGTGTTGCATATCGTTAGCCAACCTTCGCTGAAGAATAAACCAAGAAACGTGGTTTATTCTTCAGGTAAATAAGGCCTCCAGGCAAGGTGAATAGGAACCCAATAAGCATTGAGCGTTGCATTTTTGTTTTTCTAGCTCTGTGTTTTAGATCAAAAAAAGGAGAAAAAAAATGAGTATTTTTCTTCATCTAAGAACAATATATCAATATCTTCCCCCTCCAGGATTGCTCCAAATCAGTTTTTCAAACTTGGCAACTTTGAAGATCTCTGGACTTCAACTCCCAGAATTTCCTAGCCAGCTATGGCTAGGGAATTCTGAGAGTTGAAGTCCACAGATCTCCTTGTTGCCAAATTTGGGGAACCCTGCTCTAAATGTTGGGAGGGAAGAAGGAAAGAAAGAAAGAAAGAAAGAAAGAAAGAAAGAAAGAAAGAAAGAAAGAAAGAAAGAAAGAAAGAAAGAAAGAAAGAAAGAAAAGGAAAGAAAGAAAAAGGAAGGAGGGCAGAAAAGGAAAGGAAGGAGGGAGGGGGAGGGAGGGAGGGAGAGAGAAAGAAAAAAAGGAAGGAAAGAAAGAGAAAGAGAAGGAAAGGAAGGAGGGAGAGAAAAGAAAGAAAAAAGAAAAGAAATGAAGAAATGGAGGGAGGGAGAGAGGGAAGGAAGGAAAAAGGAAGGAATGAAAGGAAAGGGGGAGGGAGGGAGGGAGGAAGGGAGAGTGAGAAAGAAAAGAAAGGAAGAAAAGAAAGAAAAGAAAGAAAAGAAAAGAAGAAAGGAGGGAGGAAGAGAGGGAAGGAAAAAGGAAGGAAGGAAAGGGGAGGGAGGGAGGAAGGGAGAGCGAGAAAGAAAAGAAAGGAAGAAAGGAGGGAGGGAGAGAGGGAAGGAAAAAGGAAGGAAGGAAAGGAAAGGGGGAGGGTGGGAGGAAGGAAGGGAGAGCGAGAAAAGAAAGAAAGGAAAGAAAGAGAGAAAGAAAAGAAAGGATAAAAGAATTCTGATAGCTCTTCCTTTCCCGCGTTGCTACTTTTTTTTAAGCCTCCGTCTCTTCTAGTTTAGCTGCGCCTTTGTGATGTTTGTGTTTTGCCAACAGCGCAATATGGAGAGAGGTTTTTTTCACGTCCGTTTGGGCGATCCGGGAATCCTGACGAACTGGGTGCATGTGAAAAATCTGGTCCAAGCCCACATCCTGGCGGCCAAGGCTCTCACTCCCGAAACGGACTACATCGCGGTGAGGTTTTCAACCCCCAGCCTTCCAGAGATACGCGGACTTATGACGCCCGATGGTCTATTTTTCCTTTATCGTTCTGTTGTCGTTTTTTTCAGTTGGGATTCTAATAGACAGGCTGTCCTCAATTTACAACCCCAACTGAACTAGACATTTCTGTTGCTAAGCAAGGCAGTCGGTTGAGCGTGAGCGGTGCCCCATTTTATGACCCTTTTTTTCCCCCCGCAGTCGTTAAGTGAGTCTGGCTTCCCTCATTGACTTGGCTTGTCAAAGTCGTAAATGGGGATCACCCCTGGGATAGGGCAACCGTCATAAATACATTTGCCAGTTGCCCAGCGCCTCCATTTTGATCAGGTGACCACGGGGATGCTAACAACGGTCGTTAAGTCTGAGAAGCGCTCGTTAGTTTTTCACTGCTGTTGTAACTTCAAACGGTCACTAAACGAATGGTTGTAAGTTGAGGACTACCTATAAAAGGTTGAAAGGGGGAAGGGAATCTCCAATTTACTGCTTCAGAGCTGAAGGTCAGAGGTTTTTTATTGATTTTCTCTCTGTCTGTTTATCTATCTATTTTTCTATCTATCATCTATCTATTTTTCTACATATCTATCATCCATCCATCCATCCACCTATTTGTCTGTCTGTCCATCTACCCACCCATCTATCTATCTATCTATCTATCTATCGATCATCTATCTATTTTTTCTATCTATCATCTATCTATTTTTCTACATATCTATCTATCCATCCATCCATCCATCCATCCATCCATCCATCCATCCATCCATCCACCCATTTGTCTGTCCATCTACCCACCCATCTACCTACCTACCTACCTATCATCCATCTATCTATCTATCTATCTATCTATCTATCTATCTATCTATCTATCATAATCTATTTCACCTATCTGTCTACCTATTCACTTGGCTGTCTTCTGTCTGTCTGTCTGTCCATCCGTCCATCCGTCATCTATCATTTATCATCTATCATCTATCTGTCATCTATCATCTCTCTCCCTCTCTGATTTCTATAGCCGCCCATCTCAGCAAACAATTCTTGGGCAGCTCACAATTCAGAGCCTACAATTAAAATTAAAAAAAAAACAAATTTAAAAACAATAAAAACAGCAAAAAGCATTACAACGGTAAAAAAAAGATTTTAAAAACACATATTTTATATTTGTTACTGTGTGGAAGATACTGCAGGGATTTCAAAGTTACCTTCCTCACTCATGTGCTTCCTAGGGTGGCCAGGCATACTTTATCAACGACGGGGAAGAGGTCAACCTGTTTGAGTGGCTCTCGCCCTTGGTGAGTCCAAGATCTGCAAATTGATCTCTGTAAATTGTTTAATTGCTGCCCCAGTTGACGGAGAAAGACAGATGAGGGTCCTGAAAGTCCATTCTTGGACTTCCTTGGCCAGCTGGTATTCCTCCATTGTGCATTTAGGGGGTTAAAAACCTCGTCTTCTTCCTGCCCTACATTTTGGCTCTGTTGACTAACACAGGAGTCTCCGAACTTGGCAACTTTAAGACTTGTGGACTTCAACTCCCAGAATTCCCCTGCCAGCTCTTGTACCTTTAGACCAGTGGTGTCCATTCTTGGCAACTTTAAGGACTTGTGGACTTCAACTCCCAGAATTCCCCTGCCAGCTCTTGTACCTTTAGACCAGTGGTGTCCATTCTTGGCAACTTTAAGACTTGTGGACTTCATCTCCCAGAATTCCCCAGACAGCATGTTGGAGTTGAAGTCCACAAGTCTTAGTTATCAAGTTTGGAGACTCCTGAATTGTCCTCGTCAATCAGCCTTCCTCTTTATTTTCAGTTTGAAAGACTGGGCTACCAGAAACCGTGGATCCATATTCCTGTTTTTCTAGTTCATCTAACAGGTAACAGCCCCCCAGTACGTAAGACAAGAGATGTTAGAGAGGTTTCTTCCCCCCCCCTCCAAGTTTTTTATTTTTTTATGTTTTACAAACTTATCAAATCAATGCGTGAACAGTGTGGCATCTGGGTGGCATACATTCTAATACAAATAAAACTAGTAGAATTAATCATAGTTATTACATTCAATCAACTTATATATTTCTAATAATGATACACATTTATATTAAGTTGCAATCTGTCATTATTCAATTATTCCATGTTTTCTCGTTATTGCTTTTATTTTATTATATAAAAGTATGCACACTAATATCCCCTCTTCTCTTATTTCTATCACTTATTCTAACTTTTAATTGTGTCACCCTTTATTAAAAGACTTTTTCTTTCTATCCTTCCTAACTTCTAGTCATGTCACCTAACTAAAAAAAAGAAAAGAGTGAGAAAAGGAAAAGCAAATCAGAACAACAACAAAAAGGAGAAATCATCTATCCATCGTCTCTTGCCCGCTTCAATACTTCGATTGCTATGCTTTTTTTTTTTTTTGACTTGCCTCCCCAATTCCTCGTGAGAGAGGTTTCTAAGATGGAGGCTGGATGCAGATTTTGCTTCCTTTTAAACCTGTAACCGCAAAAGCTATGTTTTCTCTCCCACAGCTGTCGTCGTGGAAAAAGTGCAAACTCTGTTGCTCCCCATCGTGGAAATCCCACCCCTGATCACCAGAAATGAAGTAAGGCATCCTTGAGCAATTGGGGAGGGGGCGAAGGGGCTTCTTGGTGGCGGGAACCTGTTGTTGTTTGGTTTGCCAACCTTTGCCCTCGGTGTCCCCAGAAGGGGACCAGAAGTGTTCCAGAAGGAAGGGTCTCAAATTGTCCGATCTGCCCATTTTACAGATAGATCACTGAGGCTACGATCAATTTTTCAGCTGCCTCCTATGCCTGCATGCAACGCTTTGTAACTGTGGCCTCTGCTCTACGCAATGTTTGTTTGTTTGTTCAGTTTATAAGCCACTCAATTTTTTACTTCACTCTGGGCAGTGGACTACATGCAATAGTTACATTTTGAAAATACAGAGATCCTGCCAACAAATCCTTTCCAACATCACCAAAGGAAATATCAGACAATAGCAATATTGCTATTGCTATTAAGGCTTGGAGGAAGAGGAGTTTTAAAGGCTGGTTTTAATAGGATCAAGGTGGTTTTACATAAATCTCTTTCTTCCCGATTTACAGATGCACAATATGTGGGTCACACACACCTTCAAAATTGATAAAGCTCAGGCCCAGCTCGGCTACGTTCCGAAAAAGTACTCGTTGGACGACTGTGTGGATCACTTTTTGAAAAAAGGACCTCGGCCTAGGAATTTTTTCTTACAAAAATACCTTTTTCTACTAGTCCTCCTCACGGGGATAATCGCGCTGTCTGTGAAATTCACCCAAGTCCGAGATTTTCTGCTAGATTCCTAGGAAAAATATCAATATCTTCTGGAGATGTAAGGCGGGGCGTTGCTCGCCAGCCAGGCCTTAGATATGGGGATGGGAAGTGTGGCACATGGGCTTTGGAGTCGTTCCCCAACTTGCAGGCCAAACAGGTACGAAAAGGACGCGAGAACGATTGTTCCGAAATCAAAAAGGCGAACGGACGGGTCAACCAAGTGCAGCGACAGGAACGTTGCACCCGGGCGTCTTCTCCGGAACTCCCTTGAGATCCTCCACAGGTTTTGCGTGGCTGCATGAGGAAGAAAAACGAAAGCCAAAAAGAGGGATGCTTAATCCCCCCACCTCCACCCCACCTCATCTGGGCACCGTAAGAGCCACCCAGAAGGATCAAGATCGGTGTCCCCTTCTGAAGATGGAGCCTCGAAGGATGACGTGGGGACCCCAACTAGGTGAAGGACCCGCATGGACATTTTTGTGCCCGTGTGCCGCCATCTGGCTAATGTTTGGGTCAACCGAGCCGAGGCGCTAAAAATTAAAGTACTTGGAAGAAAAGACCAACACGATGTCTTTTTGAGTGAGAAGGGGGGGGATTTACAGTTGTTCAGATGTTTTCCCCAAAATTCATGAGGTTCATTTACGGAGTCCGGATGGCATCTTGGGCTCAGAGGAGCAGGGGGTTCCCCAGGTGTCATCTCCAACGTCAAAAGGGTGTCCCTAAAGTCGCCAATCTTTAGTTTCAACTTTTGCAGCTGAAAGGCAAAAATTCCTGGAATGCGCTATCTTCCCTTTAGGAAAAAAAAATATACAGTGCTGTAGTTAAATAACAATAATAATAAAAGAAATAAAATGAAGTAAAAAGAATCACTTGTTCAAAGTAATAGATAGATTTAATTTACAGATACAATAATGAATATGTAAATTAGAATAATTAATAAATAAAATAAGGGTAGGGGTATTTATTATTTATTTACCTAATTTATATAATTGGCTAAATATATCAGAATATATATTTGGAGGATTTTAAGATGGGATTTTAGCCAAGATTTTAAGTATTTCAACTAACAGACTTTTAATGACGCAGGAAAACACCCGAGATTTTAACTTTTTACATATATGTATGTATGTATGTATATGTATGTATGTATGTAATATATACGAAAACAAATATGTATGCATATTCTTTCTAGCCAGGTTTTACCTACGTAAGCTACGATGTTATACAGCCCTGGTTGTATAACATATATATTACATACATGCATAAATATATATGTATGTATGTATGTAATATATAATAAATAAATCATAATATATTTCTTTATATATATGATACATTTATTATATGATATAATTATAGTTAGCTAGATAAGATATATAAATGTAAATGTACATTAATTAAACATTATAGTATATACATATACACACTATACACACACACACACACACACACATATACACACATATACACATATAAAATTTAATATATAATACTATATGGATCATATGTAATATTTATTATATATATTTTGATAAATTAGGTAAATAAATAATATACATTTATAAATTATGTAATAATATATATCATATATATATATCAATATATAATACAATATGGAGCATATTTAATCTTACATTATTTATATACTATGTATATTTGTCTAGATAAATTAAATAATATATAATACCTATCAATAATATTACATAAACAACATATAATCTTTTCTTTGACTTTTGTTTATTTAATAGGAATATTCATTTATTATCCTCCTTGGTTTTCATAATTCCCTTTTCTTTCTTTCTTTCTTTCTTTCTTTCTTTCTTTCTTTCTTTCTTTCTTTCTTTCTTTCTTTCTTTCTTTCTTTCTTTCTTTCTTTCTTTCTTTCTTTCTTTTTCTCTCTCTCTTTCCAAAGGAGATTTCTTCTCCTTTGATTGATATCTTCACCCCCGTCTTGCCTTCTCCCGTTTCCCTTTTTGCAAAAATAATATATATTTTTAAAGAATATTTTCCCTTTCCTACCAGCCCATTTACAGTTTGCAAAAAATGAATTTTCCCCACTGGCTTTCCTCGCCCTATTTGCAAGCCCCTAAACCCGCGGGTATTTTCCAGATCTCCCCCTTTTTCGGGTTGCACCCCCACTTTGATGCTGGGGGTCGCCTCCAAAAACATAACCAGGGGAAAGAAAAAAAAAAAAAATCTTATTGGCAGCGGTGGGATTCGAACCCACGCCATCGAAATGACTGGAGCCTAAATCCAGCGCCTTAGACCACTCGGCCACGCTACCACTTGCTCAAGGAGGAACGCTGAATAGCAGATCAAGAGCGCGGAGAAGGCAGCCATCCGGCTCCTTTTGCAGAAGCAAAGCCATAAAAAACGGTGTTATTATTATTATTATTATTATTATTTTCTTCCTTTTTCAAGGATCATTGTTGCAAAATTACAGTCCGACTCGGAGCATTTTGTTTTTGCATACTTTCCTCCCAGCAATGCTTAAAATCAATATATATATAAATTTTTACAGGGTATCTTTTTGCATTGCCGTTGCAAAAAGGCCTCCCCGACCCCTTCCCAAATATTTTTTTTTGTGGAGGGGGGGGGCAAGGCGACCACGCCACGAGAGAGAAACGTGTTTTCTCCACGTTGAAATAAGCAACGTGGATGGATTCCCACGGTAGGGTTGCTGTTGCGCGCGCTGGACACCAGAGGGCGCTGCGCTCCAGCTTTTTTTTGTTTTGTTTTGTTTTCCCATCTCCGGATTTCATTTTTTTCTCATTTTTTTTTTTTGCAAGCTTTTTCCTCTTTAATACTAATACTAATACTAATACTTTTAAATTATTTTAAATTGATGTCTACTCTGTTTTTAAATAGGCTGTACACCGCCCTGAGTCCTTCGGGAGAAGGGCGGTATAGAAATAAAATAATAATAATAATAATAATAATAATAATAATAATAATAATAATAATAATAATAATTATTATTATTATTTAAATCAGTTTCTCCTCCTCAGCCACTAACATGCATGGATTTCAACTCCCCAGAATCCTCCAGCGGGCCATGTCCACGCATCTTCCAATGGCTCTGGATAAGAAGCCCTGATTTAAATCATCATCTGATGGAAAACCAAGAATGGCCACAGTTTTCCTTCCAAGCAGGATTTAACCACACTCACTGCTTGCGGATCCAAAAAGGAATTTTTGAACAAGGAAAAAAAAATAGCAGTAGCACTTAGACTTATATACCGCTTTGCAGTGCTTCACAGCCCTCTCTAAGCGGGTTACAGAGTCAGCCTATTGCCCCCCAACAATCTGAGTCCTCATTTTACCACCTCGGAAGGACGGAAGGCTGAGTCAACCTTGAGCCAGTCAGGATCGAACTGCTGACAGTCAGCAGAGTTAGCCTGCAATACTGCATTCTAATCACACGGAAGGAAGGAAGGAAGGAAGGAAGGAAGGAAGGAAGGAAGGAAGGAAGGAAGGAAGGAAGGAAGGAAGGAAGGAAGGAAGGAAAATAGCGGTAGCAATAGCAATAGCAATAGCACTTAGACTTATATACCGCTTCACAATGCTTTGCGGCCCTCTCTAAATGGTTTTACAGAGTCGGCCTCTTGCCCCCAACAATCTGGATCCTCATTTTACCCATCTCGGAAGGATGGAAGGCTGAGTCAACCGGGAGACGGTCGGTATGGAACTCCTGGCAGTGGGCAGACTTAACCTGCAATACTGCATTCTAATCACAAGGAAGGAAAGAAGGAAGGAAGGAAGGAGAGAAAAAAGGATTTGCAATAGCCTTTAGACTTATATACCACTTCGCAGTGCTTCACAGCCCTCTCTAAGGCTAGCGGTTTACAGAGTCAGCCTATTGCCCCCAACAATCTGAGTCCTCATTTTAACCACCTCGGAAGGACGGAAGGCTGAGTCAACCTTGAGCCGGTCAGGATCGAACTGCTGGCAGTCAGCAGAGTTAGCCTGCAATTCTGCATTCTAATCAACGGGAAGGAAGGAAGGAAGGAAGGAAGGAAGGAAGGAAGGAAGGAAGGAAGAAAGAAAGAAAGAAAGAAAGAAAGAAAGAAAGAAAGAAAGAAAGAAAGAAAGAAAGAAAGAAAGAACTTGCAATAGCACTTAGACTTATATGCCGCTTTACAGTGCTTCACAGCCCTCTCTAAGCGGTATACAGAGTCAGCCTATTGCCCCCCAACAATCTGAGTCCTCATTTTACCCACCTCGGAAGGACGGAAGGCTGAGTCAACCTTGAGCTGGTGAGGATCGAACTGCTGGCAGTCAGCAGAGTTAGCCTGCAATACTGCATTCTAACCACTGTGCACCATGGAAGGAAGGAAGGAAGGAAGGAAGGAAGGAAGGAAGGAAGGAAGGAAGGAAGGAAGGAAGGTTGGAAAAAACCCTGCTATATAATGTTGTTTTGCTTCTTGATAATAGCAATAGCCCTTAGACTTATATACCGCTTCACAATGCTTTATAGCCCTCTCTAAGCAGTTTACAGAGTCAGCCTATTTTCCTCCAACAATCTGGCTCCTCATTTTACCCACCTCGGAAGGATGGAAAGCTGAGTCAACCTTGAGCCTCTTGGTATCGAACTCCTGGCAGTGGGCAGAGTGAGCCTGTAATACTGCATTTAATCACGTGAAAGGAAGGAAGGAAGGAAGAAAGGAGAGAGACTGCAGTATTACAGACTGACTCTGCCCAATGCCAGGAGTTCGATACCAAGAGGCTTAAGGTTGACTCAGCCTTCCATCCTTCCGAGGTGGGTAAAATGAGGACACGCGGAATCACAAGGAAGGAAGGAAGGAAGAAAGGAGAGAGAATGCAGTATTACAGACTGACTCTGCCCACTGCCAGGAGTTCGATACCAAGAGGCTTAAGGTTGACTCAGCCTTCCATCCTTCCGAGG